GGGGGGGGACAGAGGAGGGGGAGGAGGAGGGGGAGGAGGAGAAGGGACGACAAAGGAAGACAACCAAGAGAGATGCTCTCCGTGTGATGCCTCGGTCCATGTGTCCTCCCCTGGTCCTACCCCATTGAGTGACTCCGATTCTCGCGCCTCTTCATCCCGACTCCCAGTGAGGAACAGATCTGCAGCCTCACCGGAGGAGGCGCGCCGTATCGCCAGCATCCTCATCGTCATCTTCATCGTCCTGGAAGGAGGAATGGTAGTCGTGGTGATTGTAGGAGGTGTTGGTGATGTCGGACGAGGAGAAGAGCGACAGCTGATTCAGGCGACCGGCCTGCGGGTTGGCGGCCGTCACAGGCACATTGGTGGCAGCAGAGCCAGCATCCTGCGCATTGGCCGAGGGCGATCTAAGCTCCTGCATCTCCACCTGGACGTCCTGTCGGGGGCTAGTGACGCGGCTTGTCCCCGTTGAGCGTGACCAAATGCTACTGGTGCCAGTTACCGAGGGTGATGTCGAAGTCGAGGCCGAAATTGTCGCCGGCTGACGGGCACCCTGCTGGCGGAAGGTCGCGGCCGAAGCAGTGCCCGAGTGACCATCCTGATCCAGGTCAAAGATTCCGTCCGACTCAACCGACGGCTGGGCCGCTGTCCCGCCGTGCTCGTTCTCCGGCCGGCGCATCATGGTCTTCAGCTTGCCCAGAGAGTCTGCACTCGCATGAGACGGGAGGAGCGGTTGTGAAAGGATGAGAGAGAGAGATGGGATTAGCAACACGGCACGAAATGGAAGACTTTGAAATGGAGCAGGAATGTAGAGAGAGAGAGAGAGAGAGAGAGAGAGAGGGGTGGGGAGGAGCTAAACGTACGTGAGAAGAACCCAGACACGTTGTCAACAAACTTGTCCAGGGCATCATCTTCATCGTCATCGGAATCATACTCGTAGGTGTTACGCGAGGGCCGGGAGGCAGGCTGGGCAGGTGCAGCCGGAAGCCGATGCTCAGACACCATGGAGAGAGACGACGAGAAGTTGGGCACAGCTCCGGGCGGAAGAGGCCCCCGACCATGGGCGCCAGGGCCATGCCCCATGTGGCTGTGGCTCGCGGCAGCCAGACGCCGATATTCGTCGATTTCAATTTGTTTCTACCGATCGGGAAGGGCACATGAACAGGCGTTAGGCTCAAGGACTGGAAGGGGAAGGGAGGGGGGAACCAGCAAGGCAGGAAGAGGCAGGGCCTGGAACAAAGCAACGCGGCATACCGAAATCTCCATGGCTCGGGGGAGGAGAGAATCATCGTCAGCGGGCCTTGCCGGCTCCTGTGCCGTGGCTGACTGCTCGGCGGCATCCTCAGCCATATCAGACGCCAGAATGGCCATCAGGGTCTGCAGTGTATCTTCATCCAGATCGGCCAGTGCCTCCTCGGTCACCATGCCGGACTGGACCAAGCGCTGGCGATCAATGGCACCAGGCGCGATGACGGCCTCGGCCGGCGCCGGCGCCGGCGCCGGAGCCGGAGCCGGAGCCGACGTCGAGCTCGGTCCATTGGAGTCACCGACCTCAACCAAGGCAGCAGGCTCGGTGCCTGAGACATCGGACTCGGTGACAGGCCCAGTGGTAGGCTCGGCAGCAGGCTCGGCGGCAGGCTCGGCAGGAGGCTCGGGCTCCGGCTCGGAGCTAAGAAGATTCTCCACGGCCTGGTCCGGGTTATTCCCATTGTGGTAGAGAGCCGTGACAATTTGCTTGATCGAGTAGTCTGGCAGCATGGTCTTCACTTCGAGGGCCGAAAGGGCACGCTGGAGTGAACATGTATGCATGCGCATGTGTGTGTGAGGAGAGAGTGTGTGTGTGTGTGTGTGTGTGTGTGTGAAAGAGAGGTGGAGATGTAAGTCGGGCATTTGAGAAGGGAGGGCAAATGTGGACGTCTGGGATCGACAACACGACGAGGACAGGAGTGTGGAAAAAGGGAGGAACTTCCGACGAGGGAGGAGGTGTGGTAGGTAGAGCCAGGAGGGGGGGGGGGGGGGCAGACGCACGTTCAGGATGATCTCCTCACGGCTTTCGAGGAAGCCCTCTGGCAGGGCGACAGATGCCGGAGTCATCAGGCGCTGCTGCTGCGCGCCAGCGCCGGCATACTGATGCTGCAGCTGGGAATTGGCCATGTACTGCTGGTACAGCGAGGCATTGGTTGCAGTCAGCTCGTCGTTGATGGCATTGAACAGCTCAATGAAGTGCGTGAGGTCCTCCTCCAGGTCGAAGCGAATCTCCACCATGACCGTCTCGGAGTCCTCACGGAAGAGGCGCAGCGGGGCCCGATGGATGAAGGACGCGTGCGACCGAAGCCCGATGACCTGGGGGTCATCCCGATGCCGGAAGAGCTGCGAGTTCTGGGCGTCCATCAGCAGCACGACATTCGACTGGCCATCGCCCTCAGACCCGAAGGAGACAGCAGTCAGAACCAGCGGACTGGACAGCATCAGCACACACTGGAGAGGCTGGCGACGGCGGCGCCGTTGGAAGATCTCCACTTTGCAGTTCATCAGCGCCTTGTCGGTATCAACATTGGTGAGTACGCCACCATTGGAGCTCGGAGTCGGGACCGTGGGAGCGGCATGAGGCCTCGACCGGGCGGGGGCCATCCCAGGGCTGCCATATGCCGGGTAGCCACCATGGAAAGCCGGAGCCGGAGCCATGCCACTGGGATGGTAGCCACCAAATCCGGGCATCGGGTGATAGCTGGTGCTCGGGTAGCCGCCCAAGGGAGAGGCAGGCGCCATGTGGGGAGAGGTCCATGTGGGAGCCGGGGCAGTGGCTGCGGCTGCGGTTGCGGCTGCCGGTGTCGAGGGACTGGCCGCCACATCGGGCACTGAGACAGCACCGGCTGGGGTGCCAGCCGAGGCAGGTGCCACCGCCGCCGATGACTGCGGCAGCGGCTGCGGCTGGGCCTGGGGCTGGGGCTGGGGCTGGTGGCCAGAGGGAGGAGAGGAGGGTGTAGCACGAGCATCCGGCCCCGGCTGGCTGTAGGCGCCATACGCTCCAGGGCCCTGGTAGTAGGGACCGCGCGAGTCGTGGTGATGCGCCGCAGGACCAGGCATCCGCGCCTGGCTTTGAAGATGCGGCGGGGGCTCATACGATGAGGGGGTATGTGCGATGGGCATGCTGGCGAAAGGATCGCCCGGGGCCGAGGAGCCGGTGTGCTCGGCAAACGACATGTCCGCGAAGGGATCGGTCGAGGTTAGGCCGCCACCGGTGGCCGGCGCGGATGCCCCATCGTCCGGAGAGGTGAGAGATACATCCTCCAGTCGCTCCGACAGGGGATCGAACTCGAGGAACAGATCTCGATCAAGTGACTGCGCCGGCGCCGAGGCCGGAGACGCCGGATTGGAGTTGGGCGGCAAAGACATGATCCTGTCTGGGCGCAGGGAAAGGGGGGAGAAGGGGGGCTTTGGAGGGTGGCCGGGAGGTGGGGCGGGGGGCGAGAGCCAGAAGCGGGGGGAAGGGGGGGGAGGGGGGTCAGCGGGCGATGGGATGCAGATGAAACGGGGAGGAGAAGCATTGTCGGGGGCGACAGACGGGGGATGTACATCGGCGGTGAGAGGTAAAAGGAAGGCACGACAATGAGCGAAGGAGCGAGGATAGGGGAGGGGAGGAATGGGGGGGGGGGTGATTCAGCCATATACGAAAATCCCTCAGGGGGGCTGGAGAAGAACGCACCGAAGACGATCCCTCACTCGCAGCACAGACAAACTACACACATACATGCACATACACACGGGCCCAGGCCGACAAACACCCCCCTTCCCCGGGCTGCTCACACCTGGAGACAAAAAACGCCAGGCCCCCGGACAGACTGGCACGACCCGCAGCCGGTCAGGCCCCTGCCCCGCCCAGGCGATCGGACCCGACAGTCGCGGATCCCTGGGGACCTGCGCTCGCATGCCTGGAGCATTCTCGGCCGGGCGGGAATAAATTCACGCCACCCCGCCTCTCTTGCCGCTAGCCATTGCGTATGCGGTCCCGGGGTCAGCCGACAGCAATCTCCTTCGCTTGGGCACAAGGGCCCCCCGGCCTGGTGGTGGGTGTGTCGCCAGCACTGAGGGCCGGGGGCGAGGCGGGCCTGGCATCGAGGACGGGGGGACCTCCGGCACAGGTTCACAAGGCACAACACACAACAGCCGGAGGCGGGGACCAGCCCGCGGCGACAGAATAGGTGGTCACGTGAGCATCCGGCTCAATCGGGCAGCAGCCCGGCGACTTCCACTCTGGGCGCTGTGTGCGAGACGCACGGAGGGGTGGGGGGGGCGGGGGGTGGTGGGGAGTGGCGAGCGTCTATTGGATGACGACAGACGGGCCGGGCCACCGCACCTGCCCAGGGCAGGGGGCGGCTGCCCGGGCACTTTTTCTGGCGGTCCCCTGACAGCAGGGATACCGCCGGCTTCGAGACGTTGGCGTACATGAGCTTCTTGTTTGAGGGTCACTTGCCTGGGGGGGAGGGCTGTGCCTCCTGTGCGGCTCATATTTTGGGCCGTAGGTCTGTTTCCGCGCCCCCCCCCCCTCCCTCTTGCCTGGCCGTCTTCTCGGCATCCACAATCACCACGCACCCAGCGAAGGGAAATATGTGCACGGACAAACGAAATATTTGGGAAAAAATCGAACCCGCACATTCATGCGCGGGGCCCGAGAAAAAGATTATATTTATGTCGAAAGGAGGGGGGAAGGAGTCGTCCACCTCTCGCCTTCTTCGCTGCCATGTGGAGGAAAAAGGAAGAGGAAGCAGGGAGGAGAAGAGAAGCAGACACACATGCACACACGCGGCCGAGGAAACTACTCCTCACTGGCCGCGGTGATGTCCTTGTGGAGGAAGGTCCGGCGCCCGGCGGAGAAGTCCCCGGCGGTGTGCCCTGTCCCGCGCAGGAGCCAGCGCGTGGTCAGCAGCCCGCGCACGCCGACCGGGCCACGGGCGTGAATGCGCCCGGTGCTGACACCAACCTCGGCCCCGAGGCCCATGCGATAGCCGTCGGAGAAGCGTGTCGAGGCATTATGGAAGACACAGGCCGCATCCACGCGGGCCAGGAAGTCCCGCGCGGTGGCCTGGTCCTCGGTGATGATGGCCTCCGTATGGGCACTCCCGTGGAGGCGAATGTGCTCCATGGCACTGTCCGCGTCGGCAACCACCTCCACCGTGACCGCCAGCGAGCCGTACTCGGTGGACAGATCCACGGCGTCCGGGCCGCACCCGGTGATCGGGACGCCGGACCGGTCGAAGTGCTGCCGGGCCACCGGGCCCAAATGCACCACAACGCCGGCATTCTGCAGAGCCGCGATCAGACGGCGGCCCAGGCCGGCCCGCTGCTGCTGGTCATCGCCATCGGCCCCGGCGGCCGGGCCACAAATGCCCTGGTGCAGGAGAACCGACTCGACCGCATTGCAAGCCGAGGGATAGTGCGTCTTGGCGTCAAGGACAATGGTCTCCGCCATGGCGGGGCAGGCTGCCACATCGACGAAAATGTGGCACATCCCGGCCGCATGACCGAGAACCGGAATGCGGGTGTTCTGCTGGATGTGGCTCACCAGCTGATTGGACCCACGAGGGATGACCAGGTCGATGTGCTGGTCCAAAGCCAACAGCCGGCTGACGCCGGTGCGAGTCTCCACCAGGCCCACCAGTCGGGCGGCCGCCGGGCCAAGAACATCACCCAGGGCCCGGGCCACCAGGCCATGCAGCAGGGCACAAGAAGCCGTCGCCTCGCGGCCGCCCTTCAGCAACAGCCCATTGCCGGAGCGGATGGCCAGCGCCGCAATTTGCGGCAGGGCATCGGGCCGAGACTCGAAGATGACCAGCAGCACACCGATCGGGACTTGGGTTTGCTCCAGCACCAGGCCCTCGCTCAGGAGCGTACGCTGAAGGACCGAATCCACCGGGTCCACATCGTTGGCCAGCTGGCGCACACCCTCGGCCAGGGTGCCAATCTTCTCCGGGGTCAGGCGCAGACGCTGGAGGTTGGCGGCCGACAGGCGCGACTGCTGGTCATCGGTCGGGTTGTTGGCGGCCGCCTGCGCCCGCGCCATGTCCAGATCGTTGGCCTGGAGGATGGCCTCCTGCTGCTCTTCCAGCAGGTCAGCCAACCGGGCCAGAACCGCCGACCGGTCAGCGGCCGACGCACAACGGACCAAGTTCGAAGCCAATCGAGCTGCCTGGGCCATGCGCTCCTCCTCTTCGGTGCTGCCGGGAGTAGTGGACCCGGGGCTCGGGGTGCCGCTGCTGCCGACCGACAGGGCCCGAGCACGGGCCTCCGCCTGAATGGCATCATGGACATCAGCCGGAGCAACCCCCAGGGCGGCCAGGTTCACCTGGCGCGGGTCGTCCGCCAGGACCAGCGTCCCGACACGCTCGCCGGAGATGACGCGCGTGGCCACGAGGTTCGCATGGCCAGAGGCGATGACCGCCCGAACACCGCCCATCTGGGCGGCCAGCATGGCCGACTCGAGCTTGCTCTGCATGCCACCGCGACCGCGTGCCCCGGCCGCGCCGAAGGTGACCGCCACGCCGGGATGCATGACATCCAGCAGCCGGGCACCATCGCTACCGGGCGGGCCGGACCACACACCCTCGGTGTCGGTCAGCAGGAGAAGCAGATGCGCCCGCACGGCCACCGCCAGGAGCGCCGCCAGGCGATCATTATCCTGGAAGGTCTCATCGGGGTTGTGCTCCATGACGCCGGCGGCGGCGGCGGCCGCCACCGCGGCCGCCGTGTCCGACAGCGAAGCGTCCGGAGTGAGCCCCGGCGTGGGGAGCATATGCTGATGGTGGAGGTGATGATCCGGGCCATGCTGAAGGGCCGCCGTGGCGGCTGCGGCCGCCGAGCAGGGCGGGCTCGCGGCCCCGGACCCGGCTCCCAGGAAGCCCAAATCCCCGGACGGGCTGGCCCCGGTCACTGACTCCGGCGTGTAGCCCTCACTCAGGAGCACAGCGTCATTCTCATTGATAATGGGCACAACATTGTAGGACAGAAGCAGCTCGATCGAGTGGACCAGGCGAGTTTTGGCCGCCGCATCCCGGAAGAAGGTGCTGGTCAGGAGCATCTGCGCGGTGGTGATGTCCAGAGCCCCCAGCAGGTTGTCATAGAGTGCCATGAGGGAGGACTGTCCGGTGGCGGCGCAGGCCCGGCGGATGGCCTCCTCCTGCTGCCGGCACTTGAGGGCCTCCTCCGCGCCCGGGGTATACTGCGAGTGGAGGTGGTGGCTCGGCTGCCCGGTCAACGGATCGAGGGTCTCAGGGACGGTGGGCTCCGGACCCGGGGCCTCGGGCCCGGCATTCCCCCGGAGGTGGATATTCCGCAGGCTGGAATTCAGCAGCTGCTGGAAGCGCAGGCGCTGACGACCCAGGCCCACGGCCCCGGAAGTGACCAGGATCACCTGGTGGCCCTGTTGCTGGATGGCCGCAATCTGTTCACACAGGCTGCCAATGCGGCCGAGAGACAGGTATCCCGAGTTCTGAGTGACGACTTGGGTGCCGACCTTTGGGCAGAAACAGTTGTGGAAAGGGATGAGCAGGAGGGGAGAGGGGGGTGATGGGGGGGGGGATTAGAAGCCCGGTCCGGGAGACGGTGAGCTGTGCCTCTGCCAAAATGCCCGATGGCAGATGGGAGAGAGAGAGAGAGACAGAAGAGGCAGGAGGGGGGACCGGATCAATCGCGCACCTTGATGACGACACGCCGGCAGTAGCGCAGTTTCGAGCGGATGGCATCGCCGATGGCTGTAAGCGCTTCGGCCGGAAGGGGGGCCAGATTGTCCGTGGCGAGCATGCTGGCAATGGGATCGAAGTCCTGGGCGACCGGAGGATTATCCGAGTGCATGGTAGAATTATGGTCCGCGTGAGATACAGTCAGAGGGGACATATTTCTCTCTTTCGCTTTCTTTCTTGGAGGACCGGGGGAAGGGGGGGGGGGGGAGGAGGGGACTCGACACAACACTCGACACGGCACAGGGACACCAGGGGAGGGGGAGGGCGGGAGGGGAGCGTTTGTGTGCGTGTGTGGTAGGAGATACCGTAATGGGGGCCAAGAACCGGTAGAAGAGGGTAGGTGCTCAATGGGACCTGGAGGATGATGGAAATGCCCAACTACCGAGAAGAGGCGGGAGAATGGCGCCGTCCGAGTCGGTGTGGTTTGTCAAATCCCTTGGGAGATTTGAGATATCGTGGAGGAAGGTATCTAGGGGAGCCGGGGGGGGGGGGGGGGGAGAGACGGTAAGAAGACTGGTGCACATGCGAGTGGCATTTTGGGGTGCCGGCGAGGGGGCGAAATATAGGGGAAAAAAAAAGAAGCAGGAAGCCCGAGCAAGGGAGGAAAGTCATCGAGCCATATGACGCACAGATGGGATTTCCTGCACACAACAGGAGGAGAGTGACTGCACGAGGGGAAGGGAAACACGCAACGGGCAGGGGACCAAGCTAAATGATGAAGAGGGGCGTGGGGCAAGTCGAGGGGAATTGGGGGAGGCGCCTACGCCAAGGGGGGCCTCCCTTCAGCCTTATATACTTCGACTGGAGTGATGTTTCCTTGGTCTCCCCCGCGGAGTCTGCCGCGGACAACGCCACGGGGGGGGGGGGCAGGAGAGGGCAGGAGAGGCCCGGAAAGGGCAGGAGAGGGCAAGGGAGGCAAGGCATGGGGCGAATGTAGACCAGCAGGAGAGAAGCAGCACACCAACAGGCCACAGGACTTGGTCTTGCCAACACACCCCCTCCCTCAGCCCCCGGGGCCTCGCCTCCGTGCCCTCTTCCCCACTCATCCGGGGTGGCATCCGCGCGCGCGCGCGCGCGCGCGTGTGTGTGTGTCTGTGTGTGTGTTTGTGTGATCGACAGCACGCGTGCTCCTGCCCGGCTGCCCGCGGTCGGTCCTCTTCCCAGGAGACATGTCCCCCCTGGTCGGGGTGCACAACACGCCGTTGTTCAAGGGGTGTCTATACCCCCAGGAGCGCAGGACCCGGCCGCGCATGCCAGCCTGTCTCCTACGCCAAGCCAGCGGCGACGGCATTCCCCCGACGAACTTTCCCGCCACCCCTCCCCACCCCCCACATCTGCCCAGGCGATCCGGGGAAATGTCTCTCGTATGACTGGCGTTCAATTTGACTGGAGGGGGGTCTTGCTGCGCCGGAACCCCACGCCCGGATGATCACTAGCATCCCCGGCGTGCCGGAACGGTAGGGAAACGAAAGCCCCCGAGCAGGGCCACTGGGGGGGGGGGGGGGGGGGGGGGGGCGAGGCCAGAGGCTAGATCGCGCAGCCGGATCCGGCAGTCGCACCCAGGGCAAGACGAGGCACGACGCAGGGGGCAGGGGGCAGGGGGGGGGGGGCCACATCGTGGCGACGCCAAGTGGGCACCTCCGGACAGTGGTCAGGCGCAGATGTCCTCCCGGGCAGGAGCCCCGAAGGGCCGGGTCAGAACGCGTACGAAACGCGTCGAAGGCGGGGCGCGATCTGGTGGCGCATTCTGCGCGGCCAATCGCTGAGCCCGGGGCATATTGTGGGCAAACATGGTGATCGCTTCCAAGTCATCAGACGGGGGTTTGGGCTACGTAGGAATTCATGACTAGGATTTTTGGCAACTGCCGCCTGGGTAGGGGGGATATCCCCCCCCCCCCCCCTGCCTCCCCAATCGCGAGTGGGCCAGCCCCCCAAAGAGGATTGCGCCCTCGCGCCAGCCACGCATACACCAAAAAGCAGGCTGAATGTTGGCCGACAAAAAGGGCCACGAGGGGGTTAAAGAATGGAAGGGCGCTGAAAGGCGCTGAAAAGGCCCAAATAAGCCTGAAAGGGGCTGAACGAGGCCCTGCGCCCTCGGAGCCGGAAGGGTTCTCACGGGCCCGGGGCATGCTGGCGTGCGGACCACCGTCAGATGTTGGGGTGGGCCGAGGCATCCGACGTCCGACGTCCGGCGGAGCGCGCACGCCCGCACCCCCCCCCCCCCCCCCGGAAGGGGTACCGAAGAAGATGGCCGGGTGTGTTTTTAATGGCGCGCGGGGTACTTTCACACGCCATTCGGTCTGTCGTGTGATCTGCTCTTGGTCAGGTGGGCCCATTCGGAGTGGAGATCTGTGACTTTCTCCACGTGCCCATGGCATTCATCCAAGGCCCCGGGGCCTTTTGATGCTTCGAGCTGGGTGCCGGAAACAAATGCCAATAGGCAGCCTTGGCCGTACGCCAGGGGAAGAGTGTGTCACTGGAAAAAATGTTCAGCTCTAAATGTCGGTATATTACTTTTGCTACTTTTCCCGGCCGCAGGAAGCTCGCCAACAAAAGGGGCTATGATCGGTGGAGATTCACACTGCCAGGAGAGGGAGGGGGGGGTTGAGGACCCCCCGTGTGACAAGGGGAAAAAAGATTCTCTCCAGTATGCGATGCTGGCCTCCTCTGTGAGTACGTGCGTGGGTGAGGGGGGGGAGGGGGGGGGGGGGGGAACCCACTCAAGTTGGCAGAAGGTTCTCCATGGCCATCAGCTGGCGCATCATATTCCCCATGCGAGCTTCATTCTCCGATGGGGCCATGGTGGCGTCGGTTCCGGAGGAGCCGACCGAGGTGCCGCCACCCCGGCGAGAACCCCCCACGCGGCCGGCCGCCAAGGCTCCGGCCATCTGCCCAAGCTGCATGATTTGGTTGACATACTTCACACAGAAGACCAGCCAGATGGCAATGTCGTCGGCCCCGGTGCCGCGTGTGGGAGACAGGAGCCGGTGCTGCTGGGCGAAAGACCCCGCCGGGGGATTTGTCACGAACTCGCAAAGTCGCAGGCAGGAATCCGTCATGGCCGAGGAGAAGGTCTCAATCATCTGGCTGAGCCCCGGCCCGGCGGTCAACCAATTCACATCGGCATCCTCGTCCTCACTTTCAATGTGCGGGCCGGGGAGCTGAAGCAAACGCACGGCCATGTCACCACAAGAACCGGCCAACAGTCGCGTTAGCAGGGCAAAGGTGTCGGCCCCGCCGCAGGCCTCATCCCCGGCATCGGGGCCGGCGGTGCCGGTACACAGGCCATTCCGGCCGCAGCATGCCTCGCCGTCAGATGTGGCGCTGGTGGTTGACCATCCGGAGCAACAGCCAGCCGCCTCGAGAGTGGCAGCCGGATTGTCGCGCCCGCGCAGGAGCGCCAGAGTTCCTGGACAATCAACATGCCAGCCGGCCACCGCGGTCCCGGGGCCAACCCCATCGAGCCAAGGCTTGCACACCTGGCGGATGGGGGCCAGCATGCGAAGGATCTGGTCAAAGTGCGCCATCACTCGGGCGGTGTTTCCACGCAGGGCGATGTGTCGATCGAAGAGGGCCAGCGACAGGCGCATATGTGAAATGGCGAACCCCAGCAGGTAATGGCAAACCGCAGCCGACGGGGCACCCACCAATTGGTGATACTTCTGCCCGACATCGCTGATGATGTTGGCCAAAAGCTGCAGGAGCTGTAGTTCCGGAAGCCGAGGATAGGGGGGGGAGGGCAAGTCCATCGGGAAGACGATGGGATATGCTGATGAGAACGAGGGTGACCGAGAGAAACCCCGAGAAGGGAGGCAGCAGGGTGGGGAGTGTTCAGGGGGATGGGAAATACCTCATTGCAGCGCCGCTGCAGGTGCACATCGATCTTCGGGAGACCGGGCGAAGCGAGCCGGGTAACGCCCCCCGGTGGTGGAGGAGTGGCCAGAGGGTCGAAGCCGCCGCCGCCGCCGCCGCCGCCGGAGCCGGGTGCGGGGCTGGCTATGGCGAGCTGCGCCAGGACACCAGGCCCGGCGGTCGATCCATGCAGCACGCGCGCCGCATGGCCGGCCAGCTGCTCCAGGCACCCGATGACAACGCTGTCGACACTGAGGCGTGTGAGTGACAGAGAAGAGCAAGCCACCGGGAGCTGCTTGTCGCGCCAGGCCGCGGCGGAGGTGGCCAATGCATCGCCCCAGCGCTGGATCTTGGCCGTCAACACTGTCCAGGGAATTGGGGGAGAGAGAGAGAGAGAGAGAAGAGGGGAAGGAGCGAATCGAAAGGTTAGGTGAACGGGTTGGAGAGGGCAACGGTTGTAGGGAGGCCATTTGCACGCACGAGAGGAAAGGCGCGACAGGTCGGCGCCGGGATTGGCGCTGCTGGCAGGGGCGCCACCGGAGCCGGGAGCCGTGCCAAAGGAGCCAGCCGACAGAGTGTACAGTGCGCCACTGAATCCCGCACTCTCGGTGCTGACCATGAGCGACTCCCCGCCAAGTGAGGATCCGCCAAGGATTGACTGCACGAAGGCCTGCATGTCGCTGGACACCTGGATGAACTGCGACAGGTCGTCCAGGCGCGACTCGATCTTGGCCCAGCCAGGGACAACAGTCTGACATTTGAATTCCACCAGAGGGTGGTGTTAGTATCGGAGCCAGGACCAAGCAGGGAAAGTAATAAAAGCAGCACAGGGTCGCACTGCAAGTTCGCGCGAGCCGCCGGCAAACCAGCTGGATGCTGACTGCAAGACCAATACCAGCTCGGAGAGGCGGGGCAGACCGACAGACGACGGGTTGAACTTCTCGTCGCGTAGAATTGTGGCCGCCGAGAAGACCTAGGATCGGTGTAGGCGCATGTTTTCGTGTAAGTGTGTGAATGTGTGTGTATGTGAAAGAGAGAGGGCGGGGGGGGGGGGAGAGAAAGAGGTCGCGCAAGTGACCCAGAGAGCCCACGAGATGTCAAAGAGGGGGATGGAGACACGACCGAGACAACCATGGGGAGGAACACGTACATGTGAGCGCTCGGCCTGGGCCATTTCCTCGAAGGCTTCGATGGAGATCTTCCGCCCGCGGGACTGGATCTCCACCCAATTGCGGTACTTTGCTTCGTCGCCATTATCCACCTCATCGGCATTCCTATTCAAGAGCAATGGGTCAGGGGGGAGGGGGGGGGGAGGGAAGCAGCTTCAGAGGGGAGAGAGAGAGAGAGAGAGGAATGGTGGTGGAAAGGGGCGCACCGGTTGGAAGAACGTGCCAAGCGCCGGGCCATACGTGCATTCAGACGCTGCTGCAAGCGCTTCATCATAAGCACGGAATTCTGCGAATCCAAACCCGGGGACATGGGCATCGTGACCCCGCCAAGCCCAGGGGGCGGCGGAGGCGGCGGAGGCGGAGGCGGAGGCGGCGGCGGTGGCGGCGGCGGTGGCGGTGGCGGTGGCGGCGGAGCCGGGGCACCTGCCGCGGGAGAAGCTGGAGCAGTCAAGGCGGGGGGCTTACTGGCCATTGGCTCGAAAAGTGGAGCCGGCTGATGTGTGACCGGGCCGGCCTCTGCCCCTGGGGGCTGCCGGCAGGGGAGGGGCGAAGAAAAGTCAATCAGCATATCGGACCCGGTGGGGAAGGCACCGGATGCCATTGGAGCCGAGCTGGTCGAACTCGTTGAGAAGACATCCGCCAATTGCAGCAGATCGGACGAGACGCTGGGCGCCGAGCTGGCCGAGGTGATCGGATCAAAGAGACCCATTGAGGGGGACATGGGCCCGGCAGAGGGCGGGAATGCCACCGACCGGGTGTTGAGCATCGGCGAGAAGCTCAGCAGGCATTGGTCGGTCCGCGGGGCGGACGGGGCAAGGGCCGGGGCTGGGGCCGGAGCCGGGGCGGCCAGCGGGCCAGGTGGCGGGCGGCGGGCCAGACGCCGGCTGCGCGCGCGCTGGTTGATTTGGGCCATGCGCAGGCCGAGGGCCTCATCATCGAGCAGGCCCCGCGCGGCCAGATCGAGCGTCTCTTGCAGCGCGAAGTCGATGGAAAAGTCGTCCAGATCATCATCCGAGTCGTCATCCGAGTCGGCAGGACCCATGGTCGAGATGGCCGTGCCGGTGATGGCGGCACTGCCAGCGACATCAGTGGCGATGGTGGTGCCCCTGTCAAAGGACAGCAGACGCCGAGTGAAACCCAGCCCCGGGAGCCCATGCAGATGAAGGGAAGACCCGCCGGCGGGATCGGTGCTGCGGGAGGGGGCTCCGGAGGAGGTGGGGGCGACGCCCAGGCCGACCGGGTGCCCGGCCGAGGGAGTTAGCCCCCCACCGACGGCCGCCAGCGAGTGTGTGATGTGCCGTGACAGGCGCGAGAGGCGTGACTGTGGCCGAGAGGAGCCGGTGCGACCGGCGGACGTTGTGTCCTGATTGCGCTGACGCTTCGCTGGTGATGCCAGGATCAGGTCATCGGTCAGGCGGTCAGGGCGGCTGGGGCTGGCGGGCAGTTGCGCGGAGCCGGTGCCGGTATTCATGCCGGTGCCTGCATTGGGCATCGGCGAGTAGTGTAGGTCCAACAGGGTGCCAGTGACCGGACCGGCAGCCTCAACATCGACAGTCTCGGCAAAGTCCCGCTTTCCAGCATTGAACAGACCTGCCAGGTGGACAGGCATATCAGAAGGCGGTCAACATGAGCACATGCCATGGGGGGAGGAGCAGGGGGAGAGAGAGAGAGAGAGAGAGAGAGAGAGAGAGAGAGGGAGGGAGCTGGCCCATGATAGGATGGGCAGGCCAAGAGGCCAAGACATACGCTGACTGGTGGAGCTGACGATGAACTGTGGTGCGTGGACAATGTTGCCGATTAGGCTGGTGCTTTGCCGACGCATTGACCGGAAGAAGGCCCGGCTACGGCCCGGTGCTGTCTCGGAGCCGTCATCCTCGGATAGTTCGCCACTGGACGAGGCGCCCGACTGCGGGTGCAGGGCCAGGCTAGACAGGCCGACGGATGGCGATCCGGGTGAGAGGGACAAGCTGGACACACGAGGCTCGAACCCAGGGGCACCCGGGGCCAGGGGCGGTCGACCGGCGGGTCGAGGCGATCCCGAGGCCGCCGGGTCCAGCGTTGCGACATTTTCCAAAGCCGACATCAAGGTCGACACCATGCCACGCCAGACATTGGAGGTGGAGGCATTGGAGTCGGACTCGGCGCCGGGCACCGCCGGGCGGGAGGCCTCCTGCGCCGGGCGCCGCCGCGGTGCGTGCACGGACGCGGGCGGGGGTGGCACACGAAAGGCCATCCTCGGTGGGTGCCTCGAACAGAAGGGGGGAGCACGGGGGCAGGCGCGTACGGCGGAGGGGGAGAGGGCGCCGGGCGCGCGGGCAAGGCAACAAGCGAGAGGCGATGGGGCAAGGAGAGTGGGGGGGGGGAGACGGGGGAGGTGCGAGGTGCGAGGGGAGGGGGCGGGCCCACGGTGGCAAGCATGTGGGGCGCAGGTTGCATCGGCTTGCTGGCCGAAAAAAAAAAAAGACAACATCCCCCGGCATCCAGTTCTCGACACATGCCTCTGGGGGTGTCCGCCCCAGAAAGGCGAGGGCAGGGGGTGGGGGGGGGGCCTATGCAAGGGGCCATGGTCAGAGAGATCTCACGGGGTGCTTGCGCCTCGCGGACGCTGTCCGGCAGGGCTGGCTGCGGGCGCGGGAGCTCGGTGCCGGCTGGCCACGCCGCCCGTCTCTCAGTGCCGACGCCGGCGAGGCTGAGAGGCCGGCCGGCGCTCTTCCCGGCGATGGTCGGGGGGGACCATTCAAAAAGCCAGGCCGTTAGCTTGGGGAGAGCTGCCAATGATTCCCGACCGCCCAGGGTTTGAGGATCCTGCCTGTCCGCGGGGGACATTCACTATGGGGGGGGGGGGGATTGTGGCTCGCTTGGCCGCGTCCCTGGGGGGCGACCAGCGCGAGAACGCCCCCCCACATTGGCAAGGCACCGGGCACTTCGTCCAAGCCGCGTCAGCACCACCCGAGACATATGTTGTAGGAGGCCCCCACCGCGTGGGGGGTCTCTACCGGGCGGGGAGTGCCAGTGGCCTGGCCCCACGGACGCACACAGTTGGGAAGAACTTTCGGACGCGGTGGGAGCCGGGGATTTTGGCCGCCGCGCAGACAGGTATCAGAGGATTTATGCCGAATCGGATGTTCAAAACCCATCTGAAGGTTGGATGGCCGAGTGGTTAAGGCGCCAGTTTAAGGCACTGGTGGGAAACCGCGTGGGTTCGAGTCCCACTCCAATCAAACTTTTTGATCTTTCGCTGTCCCGATCGTGGGCGTGTCCGTCTCGCCAGAATCTCTTGTTCCTTTTTTCCCCTCCCCCCCCCCCTCCGACCAGCTCCGCAGCAGTGCACACCGGCAAATGTGTGCTCGCCGAATAAGGCAATACCATCACCTTTTGCCTGGCCAGGGGGCGGATTCTTTGAGCCCCTCGCATATG